AGCTTATTCATGTATATATTTATAACGAAACATTTATTTGGAAACACCGAACCTGTCATTTAATTTAGACAAACTTGTGGGACTGACTGTACATGGATATATCTGCAAAGATGAAAAGCATTTCCTTGATAAAACTGGTGACGTTCCCCCGGAGGTATAAATTCTTAACTTAGGCCTGCGACGATAGAGCAATTCAACGTTTCTAATCAAATCTCGTATGATGCCGAGCTTGTGCTCGTGATCCCCCCATTAGGGATGATAGGATGACACTGTTAGGCTCGCGTGAAAAATCTGCAGACGATATCTTACGGCTCGATAACCGCTAATAAGGAACGTATGATGGGAGTTCCTCTCGTCATGGCACCGGTAAACAACAGGTTATCGGTAAGTTACCGTTACGATATTGTCGATTAACGAGCGAAATGACCGGCATACTTGGTGTCCGAGACCAAGGTATCAATTATGTACGGCTTGACGTGTCAAGGAAGATCGCCTGAGAAGGGAACGTTACACGATTCTCGCCTGTTCCAACGAGGAAAATTGATTTAGAAACACAGGAGCATGAATCGCGGCTGCGCGATGTAGGGTTTCGAGAAATAAAGCTTGATAAATCGAGAAGCCTGATAATTACACATTTTGAAATTAACTACTACGGTGAGCATTGAATTACATTTCGTCGAATGCGTATACTTTACGCGCGGTGGTGTGAGGCAGTTTGTAAATTTACGTGTAAGCCAACACGATTAGTTTTGCTCACTTGATGTCCCGTCACCCTAAATCTCACCAGCGTTTGGATGCTATCGCTACCGCGGTAGACAAGATAGCCACAGCTAAATAACGTGATATATTATGCGCTGTATTAAATTCGGTACGAGGAATGGTATAAAGATGGCCTGATAAATTACGAAACTAGATCCTAGTCGCATGTTTCGGGCGTAAAACTCTATCCGAAACCTAATTCGAACAAATTGAATCTAATTCGACTGGAATTAGAAAATAAGAGATTGTACGGAAGACTCGCCCGTATTTCCCAACGGACACCATCGGCGTTCGAACCATCGACTCGTCGTTTCTCGCTAAACAAAGCCCGAATCCTCCTAAGCGTGTAGTAATTAGGTGGCCAATCGAGTCTGGCACGGTCGTTTCGCGTAGAGGAAAACAGAGGGGACGTTTGGTGGCCAGGGGCTTTCCCCTTCTTCGGCAGTTATTTCCAAGCTCTTCCGTTTTAAGTGCTCAAGTGGATGGGTACTCTTTATTAATGTCCTCGCTTTTAAAAAGATAATGGATTACAGGAGCGGGGAAATGGAGCGAGTCGGCGAAGAACGACGCCCCTTTGACTCGAGGAGACGGGTTTTAGATAAAGGAGTATGGTAATTCGCTCAACGGAAACGGGAAACAACAACGGCGTTGTAAAATTCGATTTCTGTTCCTTTCGACCGGCCGGAGTAGACCGGGAACCGTTCTTAACCGGGGCCATTGAAATGAAATCACCGATTGAAATGACTATATTTTAATCAAAGCATTTACTTGCAACGAGCGCGCCTCTTTATTCATAGCCTGCCCAGCATTCGCTGCAGTTTCCTTTTCATCGTGTCGATCGCCTCGTTTTCGCGCTGAAACAACCCCTACGAGCGTATTTTCGAAGAGGCTGTGTCACGGAATAATTGCAAACGACGTAATTTTTAATCGATACTCGGACGTAAGGATTTTTTAAAGGAATGTCGTAACCGTACTGTCTCGAAGGAATTACTCGATTTCAAGGATTTTTAGCGATCGAACCATTCGTTTGCTACGGAATCCCTTCACGCTGGTGGGAATCCAGATACAAAGCTTGAAATATATTGAAATCGTTGAGATAAAACAACGTGGCCTGAAATTAGGTAAAAAAAAATTACTTAAAATTACTAAAATTACTTAAAAAAAAAAAAAAAGAAAGAAAAGTTCAAATCAATTAAAAAAATTAGGAATGTATCAACTGATACGCTTGGAAAAATTTGTTCTTTCTTTGCGTAGGTCAAAACCTACCCCTACGGACACCGAGGCCAGGACCAAAGAGCATTTTCATTTCAATATAACATCCACGTTCGTTTGAATAACCTATTTCTACAATTCGCTTTCTACGTTCTACGTAATCACAAATGAATTTTTCAATAGGCTTTGATTCTGTGCCAACCTAAAATGTAATTTCAGCATTCCGTTAATAGCGTTCAGTCAACGCGACAAAGATCACACAGGGGCGTTCCCATAGTTCAACGATGTTTCTACGTTAAACCGATTAATTAACCAACCCAACTGAAATTAATTTCGATATTATTATCGAATAACAAAGGCAGCCTCGTTTTAAATATTAACACGGAATTAATTGGCCGTGGTATGAGACAATCGTGTTGCGACACACCGCGATCGATGTTGTTGCGTGCAATTTATTTCGAAACGAAACTAGCTGAGAACCGTCGCGCGGTAAATCCGCATAAATTTTGTAAACCTATTATCGAGGTCAAAAAAGTGCTCTTTGTCACGGGCGTAGCGCCGCCATTTCGCTGTGCTTCCCTCCTCTCCGCAAATAATCCACCCGGGGGAAGATACTATCCTATTTAAAAGCACAACTCGCAACTTTCGTCGTTTTCCAAGCAACCGTGGAAACTGTATAACTCTCGACGGCCACTTATTGCCCCTAACTCCTGAAATTGCCAAGATAAATGACTGCCTCCTTTCGGGATATACCTGCTCGGCCAAGGCAAATCTTTCCTCCGCTTTTGCAATCGTTGATTTTTCGATCGATTTAGATGGATACGGAAGAAACGTATTTTTCTTTTTGTAACATCATTTGGTGATATACTTTTTTTAAAAATTACTACTCAAGCCGTAACGTGTCACGCGTTGCTGTCGCTCAGTCTGGTTAAGTAGAAAAGAAAGAAAATAGAAAGCAAACTACGGAGATTTAAGATTCTGAAGCTCCTTTGCATCGATACTCGTTCGTTAAATAAAATAAACGAATAAATTCTACTCGGAAAACCGCAACGCGTAACCTTATCCAAAAGTATCGGAGAGGTCGAAACGTTAAGTGAAACGTCCCGTGACCATCGACGCCCACACTTACGCGGTTAGCGTTTATCGATCGCCAGTTTCGGTAATAATTACATTGCTCTATGAATTCCGCAGGTGCGAACGGTCGCACTAATTTCCCGGGTGTTTTCGCGCAAGAGCAATTTATTACTTTCATTACAAAGTAATTATCGTGCTGTAAACTTTACACTGCCGGCGACAGTGTAAACGCTACCGTTTACGTCCTTTTGTTATATATTGTTCGGCGATACTGAGTCATTATTGGACATAAATATTATTTCGCGACCGTCGACGCCAGTATCGGGCCGATAACACCGTTATTAGAACGCGACGATGCTCGGGAGGATCGCAACGAAATAGCAAAACGATCGATGTCGATACAGGTGATCTTCGACGGTCGCTGATGTTCGAGACAGCGAAGCCTGGAGGTTAGATTCGTAGAAGCCGAAGTAAAGCGAAATAGAGCGAATTAAAAGCCTCTTTTGATGCGCCTCGTGCACAATTTTCCCTCGACTATCTCTTCGCAATTTCGGCCCAATTGACCCCGGTGCGAAACGGCCCAACCCCAGGAGGAATTCGTAAACGCGACTTTCCACCGACAAACGACTCCACCCTCGTCCTCGATTTTAATCAAACCGCCCGAGGTGGCGGACCCGCGTCAGAAACGTTTGAGAGGACATATCAAAAGCTGAGACGACTAACGCGGAAGAGATCACCGAGAGACACGAGTGCCGTGTAGAATCACGTAATTAAGTATTGATCAGGGCGGTGGCTTCTGCGGCAAATCCCGTTCCACCTGTTGCCAATTTCTGCTCGCCTCGGACTGCCATGATTCGATAAAATAACCGTTAAATCCTCTTTGATAATCGAAGCGACGCGACACCTCGGCCCGTCCGTGCTTCAACTTCCCCCGAAACTGTTTAATCCTGTTTCGTCGCGATTGGTAGCGATTTTAAAATACGCACGAACGTCTTCGCACGTTGCAGTCGAGTTTCCTCGATTAGTTTCTCGTTATCTAATAGTCGTGTCCCAGCTGAACGCCAGCTCGAGACGGCACCTTTTTGGATGGCACACTTGGATGCGTCTTCGCTGTATCCTAATCGCAAGAAGATATTCGAGCGGATGGTAACGTTATATTTCTTAATTACGCGAAGTTGCAGGTTTCTTCCTAGTTTCGAGAAGTCACCTTTACGTGGGAATGTAGTTCCAATGACGAAGTACCTCTCGAGAAAACGATCTAAACGACTTCGGCACACAGCTTCGAGACAGCTCACCGTATCTTCCGTTAGTCCAAAAGATGGCGACATTCTTTCCCCGAGTTATACATGTTTAACTTTCGGCTGATATAACGAGAAGCGCGGAGGTCGAATCTTTATCTCTGAATATAATCGCAGAAATGCTAGCTTCCAGAGGACCGTCTGTCACGGGACGAATCCAGAAAGGACAGCTGATGGAAGTAGCGCGTGATATCTTCCTCAAAGTTTAACGAACTTGTCAAAACTTTGCGCCGTGTCCAAGCGGAAGAAGGGACGACACGGTTGAGACAAACCGCGCAGATCGGATTGGCGAATTCGCGAATGTTATCATTGTTTTAAATTCGAATCGGTGGTTTCGACGAAAATGGAGCTGGCTAACGAGGTAATAATTGACGAAATAAAATCGAATAAGAGCCGAGTCAGAGTTGAGCTATCGTCGAGGTACAGTTAGGTATCCGTTCCGCGTCTAAAAAGTAGGCCAGAACTGTAGTGGCCTTCGTAGGTTGATCTTATGGAAACCAGTCGTTCGATCGGGAATATTAGTTTGAAATCTTAAACTATGCTAGGAAGACACGCGATAGATTCTCATCCATGACTCGATAAAATAGACGTCCTGATAGAAAATAGAAGATAGAATGAAAGTTCCACGTTTGCCAACGACATATACAGAAAATTTACTCTTACTGGAGACACCTGCGACGAAAAATTTCTTTGGAAATCAGCTCCAGGTTGGTCTACGTCGCGATTTCGTGGCTTACCTGAAACAGAAAGGAAAGCTCGAATTGGAAGAAGTTTCGAAGAAATTTTATTCTACGCGCGCGTCGCCGAGCTCTTACATTTCCACCGATACCGAGACTTGAACGAAAAAGGAAAAAAAAGGGAAAATGCACGATGCACAGGTAAGACAATACGGTTCCCCGGCGAGAGGCGGCCGAGAACGCAGCGGTCGAAAATGGGAACAGCCACCGTTTCGATTATCCGGTTTCGGAGCCGTTCCAGCGATCGGAGCGCATCCAATTGTCACTTAGCCCGAATAATACAAACACTCGGTCGCTTCGTTCGCGTTCGAAGTGACTCGGACAGAGTAACAGCGGGCGGCGGGCGTACAAAGGACCACGGTAGCTGCGAAAGCATTCACCGCTGTCGTATCCAACTCGACGACCCCGAAAACGTGCCGAACGCCCCATCGAATCTGCATTGTGCGATCTCGGATGCTCCCAGGGTCCCCCTCCGGCCCCCTCTGTTTTATTCCGCGAACACAGAGGCCCGCATTCCTCGGAACGAAACCGCGGGGCAATTCGAAACGGGAACGTCTCTATCGTCGTATTAAACGAGCAACGGTGGCACGGGGGTGGACCGGGGAAAACGATCGGGACAATCCGCAGGGCGAGCGTCATCGTCGGCGGGTTCATCAAGAGCTGACTCATTAGCTGACATTGTACGTGCGTTCAACTGGCAACTGCATTACTTCGCTTTGATGCGTACCTGACCGAGTGCAGCGTGGCTCCTGCACGTACACGCGATCCGCACCCACGCGCACCGTGGGGGATTTATATCTATGTTACGAGCGGACGTTAATTGCTCGCGACTAATTTCACTCCGGCTCGTCGAAATCTCCTGCCAGTGACACGCACCCCGCGGGACAATGGCCTTTGTTGCCCCGTTCGGATACTTTTTTTTTTTTGTTTTTACCCGGCTTTCGCGTTTTGTGTCAGTTACTGTTACCATTTTTTTTTTCTTTTTTTTTTTTTTTTTGTTGCGAACGCTGATATCGAAATTCAAAACGTTTAATCGCGGAGGATTAGAACGATTAGGAGCGGTGGATGATTCTCGAGGGTGGTCTTTGCGTCGAGCTGAAGATTGGAGATCTTCAAGTATCGTGTTGGTGTATGTGGCAACGTGCGACTGAGTCTTTGATTGGAATTTTTGAACCTTCGGAGGGACGTAGAAGAAATGAAAGAATCTCGCAGAGGTGTAGCGTATCGACGGAAGGATTCGAATGCGAACGTAATACGACAATATGCGTCGTATTAGCCATGGTGTTTTATCTTTTAAATAGAGATGATAGAGTTTTGATCGCATCAAGCAAAGACGCTTCTCTGTCTATAAATTAGGTCGATTGCTCGACAAGCACCGTCGCGGAAATGATTTAAGCTACGAAAGAAATTCAATCGTCGAATAAACTTCGTTCTAGCTGATTCTTAAGGAACGATGAATTCCATCCGAGAAATGGCACGAAGGTTCTTATAATACGCCAAATATCGATAGTTATCGCCTTCGTAACCTGAATATAGGAGCCACGATACCGACGAACCTAAGGACTATGGAGGATCCCGAGGGCTAAAATCCTCATCAAATTTTACCTTAATTGAAAAAGAGAGCCTCCATCTCACAATATCACAGATCAACTAATTTTGCTTAGACTCCGTTACTATCTGCCAAAGTCGGAAACACAAGTTTAAGACAATTGTAAAATCGGAGAATTTGCGAAGCTAATGCGTATAGTTCGACGTAACCATGTCGCCCAAGTGCAAAGTTTTGACGAGTTCGCGAAACTTGGAACAAGATATCGCCTGGTACTACCGTCGAGTATCTTTCCTATATACTTCACGTGTCAGACGTCAGCCGTCTAGAAGTCTGGCCACGTTAATATCGAAAATCGAAGATAACGTCCTTAATTGTTCTCGTTATATCGGCACGAGGAATAAAAATTCTATTCCACCGTTGATCTAAAAACCGAGTAGACGGATAACGATCGAACGTTATCGCGCGTTTAAATACATTTCTATCGTTTTTCTTCTATGTTTGTCCGTTTGACTCCCTGGTACAGCTTTCACGGCACACGTGACGCGGTATGATGAACGATGATCTTCGACGTTTGTCCGCAATGGAACAGAAGTTCGTATCAAACCTTCCGGTGACCGAAAATTGATGGTTCTATGGAAACTCAGCAGCTGATATTCAAATCGAGTAATTTCTCACGCAGAGAAAAGAGGAGCCCGTCGATTGGACTGTTATTGACACGGGGATTTGAATCCGAATCAATCGGGTGTACTACCGACACATTGACAAACTCTCAGCTTTCCGTGTCTTTCGTTTAAAAAGTAACTTTCTCTGGGGGATATTCCAGCGGACGCGCGAGTATCGACATCGACGTCGCTGAACGTACGAATGCGAATCACGCGTGATCGATGACGATCTCCGACGACAGTCCGTCTACGCTGAAACGGAAGTTCGCGCGCAACCTTTGGCTGACCGGAAATTGCTGGTCCTATGGAAACTCGGCAGCTCGTTAGAATCGGGTAATTTCTCGCGTCGAGGAAAAAGGAGTCGACCGATTGGTCCGTCGTTAACGTCAGGATTCGATTAAGGAATTAAAATAGGAAAGAAAATTGATGGAAAAGCATTAATAAGGGGTCGTTTGACTCCTTGCGAAATAAACGTTCATCTTTAAAAAGAAATTCTTTGCTCGTCGAAAGAAATTTAATGGTAAAAACGTCTCGAAGACTCTCGACGCGGGACTGTATCTCTATTATATTACGACATAGAGAACTCATATGTGGGTTGTTTGCGAATCTACGATAAGGATACCGCTCGGTACGTTTAGTATCAATTAGAGTATCCCCGCTAATAAAAGTAACTTTCTGTGGACTATTTCCAGCTCCATCGAGTCAGCGCAATTTTTCGTTGTATTTTCATTTTACCACTTTTATCGCGCACGTGTCGCGCGAGTATCGAGACCCGCGTCGGTTAAACGCATCGGAGCCCATTCGAAACGCTGGCTCGGAGAATTTTCGCTCTATCAGGAACCAATTCGGCCATGCGTGCTCGAAACGAGTTTTGCGAGCAGCGTTGCGTTAGGCGCGTCTAAACGATCAACTAAAACTGACGGAACCCCGAAAACTCGAAATTCCTGGCAAACTAACTGATCTCTGGCTAGTCGAATTATCTGGAGAAAAATGGTTTTGTCCCTAGCGGCGATCCGGGCCACGGAGCCGATAATTCCAAAGGAATGCTCGTAATTGGCGATCGGGTGATCGGAATGGGAACCATTTTACATCGCGAGGACTCATTGGTTATTATTTATGCTTAATTTGTGTATTGGTTTGTCTGGAAAGTCCATGCCTGAATATATTGGAATGCTTGAAAACCACGACTATGACGATATACACGACAATATATATTTGCACTATGCGAATGCTCGCGCTTAAGCAGCGCCGAACTGTAGCTGACCACATGCTAGTTTTTAAAATTGTCAATAGTAAAATTGAATGTCCCAGAATACTGGAACTATTGAAATTTAATATTCCAAGTAGGCAACTTCGAAGCAGCGATATTTTTTACACTGATCCATATCGTAGCTCAATTGCGAAACGATATGTGCGATGGCTAACAGCAAATGTGCCTTTGAATTTTGGTTAAAAATTGGCACGGACTTTCTGGACGATCCAATATATTCGGGAAGAAAGGAGGTCAAAATTCGATCTGTAATAGAGAACACGTTCAGAATTACGAGTTTGCGAAGCTAATAAATTCCAAATTGTTGATAGGTGGAATTTTACATCGACGATGAATTAATAAATCATGATGCGGGTGCTATAGTTTGTTTTAAATCTACGAACCGCCTCGAAACGTCTCGATGCGAAATATACGCGGAGTAAGGTAATAATAATTTAAGAATAGATACTTGGAACTACGCGAAAGTGCAACGGGACAAAAAAAAAAGGGTAGTTTCTTTGAACATCTGGAGTAGAAGACCCTTTCGAGAGGGAGAGAGCGCGAAATTATAGCGATCTGTTAAGAAGAGGCACGGTTCGCCGTACGTTGAACCCAGCAACCGAGCGAGAGCTGAATAAAAAGACGGGTTCACCGGCTGCCTCTCCTCCATCCGTTCATTCCTTGCTATAATCTTTCTTCTCTCTTCTTTATTCTTTTTTCTCTCGCTCACCGGAACAACCTGTTTCACAGCCTCCGCTGGAAAAATCGTCCCAATGCAGGGTACCGGGTGCAGCCGTGTACCGTATCGCTCCCTTCCCCCTCGTCCTCAGCTCCTTTCATCCTCGCATCCGCGCAATCGGCGCAGTAATCGAAACATTCGCAATTTCCCCGTGTCCTTAACGATCGACGCGAGAAACCGTCTCGGGAGGGAAGAAGAAGCTTGAAAACTGAACGGAGTTAATCGAGATACTGGCGGTTCGTTAGGTTCTAAATGGTTACATCACCTACGCAACTCGAAGGAACGGCGGCCACGAGTTCGATAAAATTATATCAAAATCGATCGATCGACATCAGTTTTACGGACCATTCGTTCCGAGTCTCTCGGGGAAAGTCACGGAAAGAGATAAGGATGCATTCGATGAACGATCCATAATAGATATAAACGCGATCGAAAAGATCGTAGAAAGTAAACGACGAAAACAAAAACAATGGAAACGCTTCGAATTTCCGAAAAGCTAAGGTTAAACGTGTCCTTTGATATATGATTTCAAGGATTCGAGCGCTATAAGCACCCCTGCGGATCCTGAAGACGTACAACAGATGACTTTCGATTTGTCAGCGCGGTACCATTATCGCGGTAGTTAGTATCCTTCTGTCGAGAGTAGAATCGCATCGAAACGGACGGATCATTAAAGCTGACTTTCGCCATTGTCGATGTCTTGCAGCACTAAACACGAATATGCCGAATATGCATAAACGTGTTCTTATATCGGATTTAGAACGCGCTGGACGAAATGGTCGAGCATGATCTTTGGAACGT